AAGAAAAAAGAAAAAAAAAAAAAAAACGGGAAAAATTCCCGAATGCATAAAATTATGAGTGGTTTTATTTGCACGGGTCAAGTACTTGTAGATGAAAAGCTCGCAAACTATTAGACAGACTAATGAAAAATTCATTCCAACCCATGAGGTTTTAACCACAAATTTAGTAAATTTGTGGCTAAAACTCCATGGGGCAGTGCGGGTAGGGTTGAATTTTCCCAACATTTATGATTACCGTACTTTTTTGAAGAATTCATGGCATTTACTACTATGGCATGAAAGAAATTAGAAGGAAAACAAGAAGCTGTAATTATAATTGTTGATAAGGTTATAGCTGTTTTTGGCGCGTCTGTACATAATATGAGACATTATATGGTTCCCCACCTTATCAAATCTAGCCCAAAACTGTCTACTTATTACCCTAACACTACTAATTAATGCCTTACTGGTTTTTTTTGTCTTCATTTTTGGCCTAAAAAAAATGTTGCTACCAGTCGTTAAAATCCAAGCACAAATGAAGATTTGACAAGTATATTTGCTTATACCTGTATCTGCAATATTATTAAATTGTTTCCACAAGTGGACTATGGATTTATTTATTAATTAACTGTAGCATTATTGTTTGGTTTTATTTATTTTTTCCATTTAGGTGTCCTAAATAGTCTCACTTCGCATATTTGAGAGTTGACAGCTCAACTAACACTAACAGATTATATGAGTTTATGTAACATGGATACAATGTTCTGTGTCATAAAATTTGACATTTGTCTATGTGAAATGATATATGACAATTGATGTGGCGGTAAAATTATTATATTGGTCCTTTAGCATGACAAGGTATTTCGCGTTACTCAAAAAGAAAAATTACTAACAATTTTTGTTATAGTCGTTAATTTATCTTGCAATTCAGATATAAGATAAAATAAAATACCAAATTCAACAACTGGTTGAATGTGGAGTGGTGGATTTATTGCTTATCTTACCTTAGAAAGCAAAAATATCTTTTGACCCTATCAATCCTAAAGTACGACCATACACAGGAAAGAAAGAAAGAAAAGAAAAAAAAAAAAAAAGGTCCGAGAAAGGAAAATATTGGGGCAAGTAGCTTCCTTGGAACTTGTATTAAGTTGCTATGAAATTGAAAATGTGTACATGTTGACTGAATGCACTTGGTAGTCGTTTGAGTTAAAGCAAGTGGTGAAATTTATTATTAAATGTGTTTGAATTAGATGTAAATAGTGGGAAGAGTTGACCGGGAATAGTTGACCCGACCCTTGTAGCCACTGGCCAAGGGTTTTACTTTTACCATTCTATCATATTCATGTTAGTCCAACTTAACACTCTAAGCTAACAATGGACCTCCCTTCCAGAAAGGAGCCACTCCATGTTAGTCCAACTTGAGTTCACTTGAGTACTTTATTTAGGTTAGTCCAACTCCATGTGAGAGAGGATGTACATAAATATGTATACACTCTTACATAGCTAGAGTTCACTTGAGTAAATCCTTACGTACAAATTACTGTTATTTACATGCAGCATTACCTTTTCTTTTATTGTTACAAAAAGTTTCACAAGCAGTCACATTTGGGTGATGCAATATAGATTAATTGACAAGTACCCATGGCTTGAGCCTTTCTTAAGTCCAACTATTATTTTCAAGTTATTTAGCTTTTTTTTAAGGCAATAATTGAAAAAAAAATAAAAAAAATGAATGAATTGGCTGTTGAACAAAGTGGGGAATGCATTATCAAGTGGATAAATAAAAAAGAAGAGAAAGCCATGAGGGTTGCCTCAATTTCTCAAGGCAAAAAACAAACTAAAAGCCATCTTATCTCAATCAACCTAATTGCCAATACTATGTTCCAAGAAAAATTCCATCCCCAATTGTTTAATTAACATAATTGGCACATGACATTCACCCCCACCAAATCAACCACGAGCATGCCCAATAAATTATTGGCTTCATTTTGTTTTTAGGTACACAAATTGGGATCATGTTCTAATTGATTTGATCAAATAGGACCCACATCTTGTGATTCTTGTTTGCTAATTGCATTATGAAAATGCTAGTTTTCAAAGAAAATGTTTGATTGTATGTTTAGTGATTATCGATTTTAATTATAGATAATTAATGTGATTTATGAAATAATACATTATATCAAATCGTATGTCAAACTTTTAATTGATAATTATATTGACAAAAAAAAAATTATAATCCAAACTGTTCGATAAGAGTTCATTAATCGAATATATCGATAATTGTAAGGTTATTAATCAACAAATATATATCCACACGGATATGTATTGATCAAAGTCTNCACTTTAAATACACTCTTGACAAGTAAGAATTCTTTAGGAGATATAGAGCGTGTCTGGAGAAATTCAATTAATTAGGGGCACATGTGTATACCTCATGAATTTCATTTTTATAAAAATTTTAAGAGTTCTTTTGCAACAATTATACAAATTCATATTTATATTCGTGCTCGTGTATTAATTCATTCTTGAGAGTATCAAATAAGAGTAGTATTTGTTAAAAGCTTGTCTATTTTACACTAGATAAATAGAACTCGTGTTTTAAAGGCATAAGCAGTGAATTGTTGATTTGGTGCGGGCTATTTATGTGTCAAATTTATTTTATTCATTGGTTTTTTCTTCTAATTTTTGTAGTCATTTTTTGTTTTTAATATTTACAAACACTAATGACAAAGTGCTTAAGGTGTGTGTTAATCTCATATTAGATCAACAAGTGGAATTTTAAGCTTGGCTCAAAGTGGAGAAACCGCTATGCTCATTATTATAGGTGTTATAATTATTATCATCCCGAAAAAGAAAATAAATATGAAAAAAGGTATTCATAAATGTATAACCATTAAAGTATTGAGTTATGGAGAGAGCCAAAACTTCGAAAATAATCTCATCATATTTTTTGTTTTTCCTATTTTTCATCATGCATCCTGCCGACTTTTATGTTCTTTAATTTTGTATTAAAAAAAAAACACGTTTAAATTATTCATAATATTAAATAAATTGGTGATTCCCAAAGTACAGCCTTCACTTGAGATGTTTCATCAACATTAACTATTGCTATGTGACGCATGCTTATGAGAAGTTAATATTTTTGAACAGTTGCACTTACAATTCGCATCATGTACCAGAACGCGAAGAAGGGATTTAAGGTAACTTGCAGAGTGCTCTTTAATTTAGCATGTCTATTTTAGTGTTTCATACTATTAATTACTAAACTTATACAAACATCCTTGTGAGTAGGTTCGTTAGATTGATGGATCTCATGATACCCCATAAGCAAAAATGTTTACTTATGCTATAAAATGTCATAATTTTATAATACAAACAATAATCTTTTATTTTTCTTGCTTTTATTAGTTCTCTTGTGGGATGATAGAAAAGAAAAGAAAAGGGGGCGGAAAAACCACCCCACTTAATCATCATAAGTCTCTCGAGACCAATATTCTCATTAAAAACACAAGTTATTGTATGAAGTTGCTTGTTAGGCGGGTCGGCGCGTCATACGTTTTTTTGTT